CCACCTGATTATGGAAATGGGGAAATGGGGAAACTGAGGCCTCTAATGCCACACGATTAACCCGAAGTCCCTCGTATTCCTAATAAGAGCTCAGGAAGCCTGTTGCTGAGCATGGCCTGGGACGGCCAAGGCAGAACCCCTCGGTGGCGCTGAGAGCAGGAGAGGAGTGAAGGAGTCAGGTGTGAAAGGTCTTGGATGCCAGGTCAAGGGGCGGGGCACCAAAGGATTTTCAGCAAGGATCAGGTGTGTGCATTCAAAAGATCATTGGGGCTGCTGTGTGGACACTCAGGAGAGAATTCCAGTATCTGCCAGGCCCTTTACTTCCAAAATTACAAGAGCAGAAATTCCAAACACTGGGAAGGAAATGGTGGAATGGGAAACTAAGGAATTGTTGATGAGTAGAAAATAGCGCAGATACTTGCTCACCCACCCTCCCCTCTCCATCCTGCCCTTTCCAGTCCATCTACATCTGTGCCAGCCACTCTTGCTCAGTCTGCCCATTTGCCATTGTTGGGTTCTCAAAATTTCATTGCCAGGACCAGCGTGGTAACTCAACTGGCTAATCCTCCACTTCCATGTGCTGGGATCCCCTATGGGCACCAGTTCAATCCTGGGTACTCCACTTTCCTTCCAACTTCCTGCTTGTGACCTGGGAAAGCAGCAGAGGATGGCCCAAATTTTGGGGACCCAGCACCCACTTGGGAGACTCAGAAGAAGCTCCTGGCTTTGGCCATTGCAGCTACTTGGGGAGTGAACCGGCAGATAGAAGATCTTTCTCTCTGTTCTCTCCCTCTCTCTGTAAATCAGCCTTTCTAACAAAAATAAGTAAATCTTTTAAAAAAGTCATTGCTTTTCCTGCATCTGCCTCATCTGACTGTTGAAGTCGTTATTGCTGCACTGCAAACTGCCCCCAACTCACTGGTGTGACTAGCTTACCCTTTCATTATGTTCCTTGTCTCTGTTCCATGGTGGCTATCTGCCCGTTGGGGGACCCCCATCTGCTGGTGGACCAACGTCTGCTGGAGGATTCCCATCTACTGGGACTTGGATGACTGGAGTTGCATGAGCAGGAGAACTGAGCATTCATAGCTCTGGCTGTGGGGCTCCAACGGTGCCAGGAGTCCCTGTGTGGGGTTTTCCCGTATAGTATGGGCGTGGTGATGGTCCCAGGGTTGCTGGCATGGTGGTTAGGTGACCAGGGTCTGCAGGTCCTGCAGTAGTATCGCTGCTGCCTCCTGTTCATCCCAAGTGGATCAGAAAGGCCACCCTGGATTCAGGGAGATTTAGGGAAGGACTGGCAAGTCAAGCTCTGCAGTGATCACAACCCACTGGGTATCACGCCATGGCTCCAACATTGCCTCCCTCAGGGAGCAGGCCTGAACAGAGTGACGGACAAAGGAAGGAATCCAATGTGGGGACTGGAACAGAGCCCCAGGTGAGAGATGACAGGGATTCGAACCAGGATACAGATTCTGCAGGAGCAACATATAGGACATAAGGGAGACAAAGCAGTGAGAAAAAGGGGGCAGGCATGCCTGCTGTCTCCATCACAGAGTCAGGAATACCAAGAAACAAATGATTTGTGGATGTGTCAAGTCGGAGGTGCTGACTAGACACCAGTGGAGGCAACAAGGAGGCTGCTGTCCTGGCAGCATCAGCAATAGAGATGCAGACCTTTGCTACAATCAGCAGAATTCAGGAGGCCTTGACACTCCAAGCTGCCTGCACACCTGCCCTCCCCGCCCCACTCCAAGTCTAGACCCAAGGCCAACCCCAGGGCTGCCCACCCCCACCCTCCCTCCCCTAGAGTGAGCCAGGCTGGCAAGCACCTTGGACAACCAGATGGCAACCTTATGCAGAGTTTACCTTACCAATGTCACAAAGTGAAAGGACTTTATACAGATGCAATTAAAATCACAAATGACTTGGGTTTTGGCCCTGGTCTTTTTAAATATAATTTAATTTTAAAAAATATTTACTTTATTTTTATCACAAAGTCAAATGTACAGAAAGGAAGATGGACAGAGAAGGAGAGACAGAGAGTAAGATCTTCCGTCCACTGATTCACTCCCCAAGTGACCGCAATGGCCGGTGCTAAGCCGATCCGAAGCCAGGAGCCAGGAACTTTTCCAGGTCTCCCCTGCAGGTGCAGGGTCCCAAGGTTTTGGGCCACCCTTGACTGTTTTCCCAGACCACAAGCAAGGAACTGGATGGGAAGTGGAGCTGCTGGGATTAGAACTGGCGCCTATATGGGATCCTGGCGCGTTCAAGTCAAGGACTTTAGTAGCTGCACTGTGCCCTTTAATTTTGTTCTTTGCCCTGATCTTTCATCACAGTGAGCTTAACCCATCTCTTGTCCAAGGGACTCAAACCAGAGCAGCAGCAGCATCTCCTGCTGGTGTTGATAGGAGCCATCGTGCTCAAAGTCCAGGCAGCTCCTAGGAATCAAGACCTGGAGCCTCCCATCACTGGAGCTGAATTCCATCCGAGCTGCGGACAGTGCACATCCAGCAGGTGCCTGTCAGCACCTCGTGAGGACCTGACCAGGGAGTGGCTAAGGCAGCCGTGCTCTCCTCAGCCATGCAGGCTGAGAAATAATATATGTGTGCTATTTTAAGGGGCTGGGGGTATGGCCATGAGTTGCGCAGTACTAACTTGCATATGAGCATCTGGGTGGGTGTTTTATAAAGCCTGGGAATCCAGATGGCTCCACTGGGCCAGACAACAGACAAGACCCAGCTAGGAGGCAGTGACTTGGAAACAGGAAGTCAGCTTCTTGGGGTGGGGCACACCCTGCCGCCCACCCTCAGCCAGACTTGCTTTCTAAGCCCAGCCACTAGATGTCCTCAGAGCCCCCGTTAGCAGGTGTCTTTCCCCACCCTTCAGGTTGGCCTCTGAAATGGAAGGAAGAATGGCAAGGTCTTCCACTCTGTTCCTCCTTCTTCCATTCCAGGGTAACTGAGGACTGTGATGGGCAGTTGTGCCCAAGACACCGAAAATCCAGCACTCTCTCTGGTCAGGCAATTTAACTTCCCCCAGCCCTGTTTCCCTCCCAGAACATCCTGAAGGACAAAGACAGATAAGCGCCCTCCTGCTGTAGCTGGGGGAGGGACCTGGAAGCCAGTGGAGAGCTGAGGCTGCCATTGAGGGGGAGGGGGTGACCAGCACCACTGGTGTTATGGAAGGGCAGAGATTCCTCGGATTCTGGACCCCATTTGCATTGTTTTGATGCCCTTGACTGTTCTGTTTGTGTAGGCCCACCACCTCCAGACCCTTTGCAGCCTGCGATTGCCTAGAAGCAGATCATGAGACACAGTTTAGAGTGCAACATATTTATTAGAGATGAACACCTGTGGGGGCAAAGAAAAAAAAAAGAGGAAGCAGGACTGGGCACAGGAAGACACCGAACCATGTGACAGGCGTGCTGCTCCGGGCGCAAGGTGGACGAGAGTCGTCGGCTCCACAGTGAACCCCCCAATGGCCAGGTGTTCACTCCTTGCCTTGCCCAGCCACCCAGGTGCTGGGTCTGAGGGGTTAGAGGGCGTGGTGGTGGCAAAGTGGTTTGGCAGCCAGCAATCCTTTACTTGCCCTGAGGACTGTTCCTTTGAAAGCTGGCACACAGCCTTGCCCTCCTTGCCAGGCAGGCGGTAGGAAGCAGTCACTTGCATCTCCAAACTCTGCCGTGGCTTACAGAGAAGCTGGGCTGTGACTAAGATTTGGGAATCCACTGGATCCTGGCATTCGGGGCAGGGGAATCAGACAGTCTTGGTCTTAGTTTCCAAGACAGAACCGTGAGGAGCTCTTTGCTCATTTACGCTGTCTCTACTGTTGGCCAACCAGTGCCAGCTCCTGGGCCCCCTGTCCTGGCCCCAGACCCTGAAGAAATGCCTCACTTTTAGACGTGGGGGCCCTCCCGCCAGGGGCAGCCACTGACCTCTCCTTAATGCAGTTGATGGAGCGCCACTCTAACACACCTTCCCCCTTTAGCTCCCTCTGCGTTGACAAGCAGGCTCTCTGGTTAGTGTGGGGGATGAAGTGAACTGTTCAAGGTCACAAAAGGGCTCAGCAGTGGAGTGGGCTGGCAGCATGTGGCTTGGCCTTGCTCCGCCCACCCTCTTGCTCACACCCCTGCTTCATGGAGCCCACCGGGACCCACAGATACTTGAGTCCTCTTTCTTTTGAAATGAAGATGACTCAGAAACATCCACTGCTTCTCTTCCCAAGTCTGGTCTGGGGGGGAGGGCCTGTGTCCCACCCCACTCCTGCCCAAGGTCACACTGGCACAGGCAGGCAGTAGCTCACTTCTGTCACCTGCACGGAGTGGAGGGTGGGGCATGGGGATGACTGTCCTTTATCAAGGCCAGGGAGTGCTGAGGCAGGGGGAGTCCAACACCTGCTCCTGGGCCACGCAGCTATGCCCATCTCCCCCAACCCATCCCATGTTCTTGAATCTGGCCACCTGGGGATGAGCAAGGCTCGGCACAGACATGCGGAACCACAGGGCGAGGTCGGGGCAAATACACTTTATTCAGTCCTGGCATCAGACTGGCTGAGTCCGGCTGTGGGTGCCAGCGCCCCCTGGGGGACCCTTCCCCTCAGCTACGAGACTATTCTCCAAGACCACACAGTGACATCTCTTCACTCACATGACGTTTTCTGGGATTTTTTTTTTCAGTCTTTTTTTTTTTGTTTGTTTTGTTGCTGTTGTTTTTTCTTAAAAAAAGAAAAAAAGAGAAAAGAGAAAAAAAGGAGAAAGAGCGCGAGAAAGGCCCAGAGGCGGAGCACCAAGCTTCGAGGAGGCAGCTGGTGGCTTTGTCAGCGACGGGAACGCGTGAGGCAGAGACCTGCGGAGACCCTGGGCGGGGGTCCCGGAGGGCTCTGGGACCATGTGTTCCTGAGATTTGTGTGTGTGAATGAGTGTGTGTGAGCCGCCCGCAAGGGGCGGACACACGCCGGCGAGATACAGGTAGTGAGGGCGAGGGGGTCGGGAGGACGGGGGTGGGGGGGCGGGCTGGGGCACGGAGAGGAGGGGGGCCACAGCGGCAGGGTCGCGGGGGTCCCCAGAACTGGATCTGACGTCTTACTACCCGCGGCAGCAACCCCACACTCCACCCCCGCCACGCTTCTCACGAGGAGAAACTGAGGCACGACGGCCCGCCTCCACTCTCCTCAGCCTCACTGGCGCGGCCGCCGAGGAACCTCGCGCCCCCGGCCCGCCGCCCCAATACTGCCGCGGTGGGGGGTCGGGGTGGGCAGGGGAGGCGGGCTGAGGGAGGAGCCGAGGCCGAGAGGGTGCCCTGAGGTGGGGTGGAAGGGCCTTCCCGGGGGTAGGAGAGCAAGCAGCAAGGCCCCCATCCCCAAACAAGACTAGTTGGTAGATGTGTTGGGTTGGAGTTTTGGGGGGCGGGGGGTGGGAGAAATAGGGACGTTCCTGGGGCCCAAGACAGGCTGTAAGAAGGCATCGCGCAGTCCAGGGAGGTGGCGTGCGGGGGGTGCTGTGGGCGACCCCGTGAGGGAGGCCTGGGAGAGCTCGAGGCCCAGACCAGCCCTTCCCCGCCAGCTAGTCTTTCTCCCCCCACTTGGGAGTGCTCCTCCCATTAAGGCAGTGACGCCCCGTCGGGTGGAGAGGAAACCACTGATTCCCAGATCAAAGGATTCCTCGGGATCTCGCTCCACAGTCACCGCACCCTCTCCCCCCTCATCCCCGCCCCGGGTCGGAGCGGCCGCGGCGTGCAGCTCCACCGCCACCAGCCCCCTCCTCCCAAGAAGCACTAAGCATGCGCGAGGAGGGGGCGGGCCCAGGCGGAGAGGCGGACCCCGGGGGTTCAGAGGGAGCGCGCCCCTCCCCCCGCAGGGGCGGGGCCGCCCGGCCGCGTCGCCCCCGACCCGAGGCGGCGAGAGGGCGGGGGCTGCGCGAGGCCGCGAGGGGGCGTGTCCTCCGGCCACGAGGAGGGGCGTGTGCAAAGTGGGGCGGACGGGGGAGGGGGCAGGGCGCGGGTCCGGAGGCGCGGACGGGAGCCGCTCGGGAGGGGGGCTGGCTGCTGGTGGCTGTGCGGGAGGGACGCGGTGGGGAGGGGCTTGGGGGGCAGGGCAGGGTGGGGGCTGGGCTGCCTTGGGGTGTGTCTGCGGGGGGCGGGGCATGTCTGGATCTGAGGGGGGATGGGCACGTCTAGGAGGGGGAGGAGGCTGTGCGGGAGACGGGGTGCCAGCCTCGGCCCTCCGAGGGGCCCCAATACCTGATTCCTGTATGTAAACAGCTGGTTTGGGGGCGTGCGCGCCCCGCTGACGGTGGGCTCAGTAGGTGAAAACCAGGTCGGCGATGCTAGACGGGCGCCAGTCCCCCGCGATCATCTCGGTCACCTCGGGGGTGCAGTAGTCCGGGAACTCGAAGTGAGACGTGCCCGAGGGGGGCGGCAGGTCCGGGTCGCGGTCCAGGGCGCCGCAGTCCAGGCCGACGGGGCCCGGGGGCAGCCTGGACAGAAAGCCCAACGGCTCCTCCCCCGACGCCACCGTGTCCTCGTCGCCCTCCTCCGCCGGGGCCGCCTCTTCCTCCTCTTCCTCCGGCTCCTCGTCCTCCGACGGCGGCGGGGAGGCGGCGGCGGCGGCGACGACGACGGCGGGGGCGGCCGCCCCCTCCCCCGACGGCCCCTGGGCGCCGCGCTCCGCCGGGCCCCGGGCGGCCCGGCCCGCGGGGACCATCCTCCACAGCTCCCGCCCGGGGGTCTCCACCAGGCGCACCTCGAGCAGCTCGTCGTCGTCGTCGTCGTCGTCGTCCTCGGGCGCCGCCGCGCCGCCCGCCAGGGGCCCTCCCGCCGGCCGGCGGCCCCCGCGGCCCGGCAGCTGCGGCCCGTGCTTGAGCCGGTGGCCGCCGCCGCCGCCGGGGGGGCGGGGCCGCGCCTTGGCGGGCGCCCCCTTGCTCTTTTTGCGCGGCCGGTACTTGTAGTCCGGGTAATCCGCCATGTGCTTGAGGCGCAGCCGCTCCGCCTCCCGCACGAACGGGATCTTCTCCGAGTCCTGCAGCAGCTGCCAGCGGCGGCCCAGGCGCTTGGAGATCTCGGCGTTGTGCATGTCCGGCCACTGGTCCATGATCTTCCGCCGCTCGTGCTGCGACCACACCATGAACGCGTTCATCGGCCTCTTGATGTGGCCGCTCGGGGTCTTGCACCAGCCGGGCTCACGCGCCCCTTCCTCGGTCGACCCGGGCCCCGGGGGCGGCGGCGGCCCGCCGTCCCGCTTGGCCCTCGCGCCCCGCTGCTGCACCATCGCGCCTGGGCCCGGGGCCGCTAGACGCCGCCGCCGGGGGCCGTCCGCATCCTCCGCGGCCGTGGGGTGGGGGGTGAGGGGAGAGGAGGAGGAGGAGGAGGAGGCAGCAGCAGCAGCGGCGGCGGCGGCGGTGGCGGCGGCGACGGAGGGGCGGCCCCGCCCCGCGGCTCGGCCCGGCCCCCGCGAGCTGAGGAGCGAGGAGCTGGGGCGCCCAGGCCCAACGGACGGCGGCGGCGGCGGCGGCAGGGAGGGGGGGAGCGGGTGGGAGAAGGTCAGCCGCGCGGGTTCAGGCGGGCTCGGCGTGCCCCCGCCGCCCCCGGCGAGGCGGGACCCCGCTGCACGCCACACATTGTTTTGCGGGAGCGGGGGAGCTCGGGGATCGCACCCCACGGGCTCCTCTTCTTGCAGCCTCCGGCTCGGCCGCGGCCCGCGCGCGCGCCGCTCCCCGCTCCCCGCCGCCGCCTCCTTCCAGTGTCTTTCTCCCCGCGCGGCCCCGCCGGCGCGCGCGCCCCTCCCCCTCGCCGTCTGCGGGCCGCTGCGGCGCGCGCGGGGCCGCCCCGTGTAAACACCGAGGTGCCCGCCTGGGCCGCGGCCGGGACACGCCCCGCGCGCGCGGGCGCCGCGTCACCCGTTGCTGGGCAGAGAAGTCGGGATTTGCATCTCCCAATCGCGGGCCGGCCGAGCGGGGCGGGGCCGGGGCTGCGGGGCGGGGCCGGGGCTGCGGGGCGGGGCGCTCTCCTGGCTGGGATTGGGGCCGACGGGATGAGATCGGTTTCTTTTCTTAGGTTGGGGGGGCTGGAGGCAGGATGGAGGGGGTGGGGTGCGCGGAAAGGGATGCGGAGCCTGCTTCCCATCTGGCGCTCGGAGCGGGCGCTCGCTCCGCGTGGTCTTTGAGGTGATACCCTATTCTGGTGATACCTGCCGCCAGGTAGGGCGTTTGCGCCCCCGCCTCCGTTATTTGGAGGAGGGGAGAAGACTTTTCGGATTGTCGCAGAAGAGTTGGGGGGAGGGGATGCAGCACTCCAGAAAGATTCTCGGGGGACAGCTTCACTTTGTCCTTGATGTATCCCACCAGTTCACACTGGACAAGCCTCGTGTCGGCTCCACAAATACTTTTGGAACCAGAGAACAAATCCCACCACCACCCCCATTTGCAGCGTCACGGAATCCTAAGAAGGGGGACACGACGTCCTCTGTGTCCCGTTTCCATTGTGCAGGACCCCCGCACACGAGCGGCCCATGGCTCGCTCGGGGCTGCATGGCGCACTCGCGGGCGGCGAGCAAGGCGGGCTTTTGGCTTCTCACCGGTCCCGGCACGACTCAGAAGGCGTGGGTGCCCTCTTCCCAGCGCGCACCCCAGCCCGGAGTCGGCCAGCTGCCAGCCTGGGGCGCGTCGCCGCTCCCCGCCCCAGGGAGCCGGCAGGGCACCGGGCGGAGCCGGCGCGTGGGGGGAGGGCCGCGCGCCCTGCTCACCACGTGGACGCCGGTTCGGGCCCACCCGGGCCAGCGCCGCTCCCTCGAGGAGGTCACCTTCACGGCGCGCGATCCCGGGCGGTGGGAGGGCGCGCCGAGCTCTCGTCCCGGGGAGGCCGGGGCCGGGCTTCGGGTCTGGAATACTCCTGGGGGCGCAGGGAGCGGGTGACGCGGCCCTAGAGGCTGAGCTGGCTCCCTCCAGCCGGCGAGACCGTGCCTTGTGCCTCGGGGGCGTGGGCCGGGAGGAAGGACCCAGGGGAGGCTGGGAGGGTCGATGGAGCGCAGCCTTGGTAGCTGGCTACTCTAAACGCACAGGGCGGTTGGTTGCCCGATGGGGGATGGGGTCGTTGGTGAGCCTTCCCGTGAGGTTCATGCAGTCTCCCGTAGTAGTATTCGTGAAGTGGGATGATGAGTGTAAGCACGTCCTGACTCCAAGCAAATCAATGCCTGGTGAAAGTTGTGGAGCGAGATGTCCCCGGTGTCACCCAGGCCACATGCCTGTGGGGACAACAAGAGCTTTAAACAACTAGACTTCCCCCCACATAGTGCATACTTGAAGGCACACAGGACGGGCCTCTCTGCAAGGTCTGTTTCTGATCTTGGGAGTTTTGTTATTTCTTCTCCTGGTGGGTCCTTGCTGACCTTGTGCAGGGCAAGGTGGATGTAGACCAGAGCTCAGTGTTTATTCTCCCCAGGGAGGAGTTATCCCACGGCCTCTCCCTCACTTCCTTCTGTATGCATCCAGTCGCCAGCATTTATCATTGCTTACCGTTTCAAGACCATAGTCTGTGCTGGGGAGCTAGGATTGTAAAGCCATTGAAGAACACCTCTTCACACCATTAAAAACAAAGAAAAAAAGAAAAGATAGATTTACTTGAAAGGCAGTTACAGAAAAAGGGAGAGCTCTTCCACCCATTTCTCCACTCCCCCAGATGACCACAACATCTGGAGATGGGTCAAGCCGAAGTCAGGAGCCAGGAACTGCATTCTTGTCTCCCATGCAGATGCAGGGGTCCCCATTCCTGGGCCATCTTCTGCCTTAACAGGGAGTGGCGTGAGAAGTGAGGCAGCCGGGACTCAGCCACTTGAGCTGGTATAAATATGGGATGATGATATTGCAGACGGCAGCTTAAAGCAATGCACCTGGACATTGGCCCCTGCCAGGGCTTAACATCCCAGAGCGAGAGGAATGCCAGTCCAGGAAATATCATCTTCAGTCTGTTGTTGGTGTCTTTCTTTTTTTTTCTCATTTTCTTAACAGACATGTATGCAGGTAGTAATTCCTTATAAAACTCCCTGGAAGAGGGAACATTGAATTCAACAATTCACTGAGCATCGAATATGTGCTAATCACTAAGCTTGGAAGTGAGGCCACTGAGCCTTAGGTAGAGATCTCTGGCCAAGGTAGAGAGATCTCTGTCTCTCACTCAGTCCTTTCTTTTTAATTAAATCTCAAAGAGAAATAGTTTCTGTCTATTGGTTCACTCTCCAAATGGCTGGGTTTTTTTGTTTGGTTGGTTTTGTTGTTATTGTGGTGTTATTTGTTGTTGTTGTTGTTTCAGCAGCAAAGTCTGGGCCAGGCAGAAGCCAGGTACCTCACGCTCCATCCGGACCTCCCTCATAGGTGGAGTGGCTGGGACTAGCTGGAAGTCATGCTGGAGAGAAGATCTTGAAGTCACCCCAAATGGAGGCTTTACCTGGGTCACAGCACTAGTCCCCGAAGTCCCTGTTCTTTTATTATGTTTAAATAAATATTTTTATTAAAAGAAAATAAATCTTTTAAAAAATATCTTTATTTAAGATATATATATAGGGAAGGCAGATATACAGAGAGGAGGAGAGACAGAAAAGAAGATCTTTTGTCTTCTGATTCACTCCCCAAAGGGCTGCAATGGCTGCAGCTGAGCCGATATGAAACCAGGAGCCAGGAGACTCTTCTGCGTCTCCCACGTGGATGCAAAGTCCCAAGGTTTTGGGCTGTCCTCCACTGCTTTCCCAGCCTACAAGTAGAGAGCTGAATGGAAAGTAGGGCAGCTGGGATACAAACTGGTGCCCATATGGGATCCCAGTACTTGCAATGGAAGGATTAGACAGTTGAGCCATCATTCTGAGTGAGAAATCCCCACTCTTAAGGAGCAACTAAATCTGATTGAAAAAAACAAAGAACAGGGACATAGGGTAATTTCAAATAGTTGTGAATGCTGTATAGAAAATAAAACAAGGCAGCATGAGAGGGAGTGACTGGGATAGGGGATGGGGGAGATGGAGGGTGAGTTCAGATTTGCTGATAAAAAGTAGTCATCCCTGCAAAGCCCTGGAACAAAAACATTGCTGACAAATGAAGCAGCAAGATAGGTAAGGGAGGCATGTTGTGGCATGGTAGTGAAGCCATCGCTCGTGATGCTGGCATCCGGTACTGGAGTGCCACTTCAGGTCCAGCTTCTCTGCTTCCGGTCCAGCTCCCTGCTGCTGCACCTGGAAGGCAGTGGAAAATGGCCCACGTGCTGGTGCCCCCGCCCTTGCTGTGAGAGCCCCAGATGAAGTTCCTGGTTTCTGGCTTCAGCCTGGCCCAGCACTGGCTGTTGCAGCCATTTGGGAGGGGCAACTAGCAGATGGAAGAGCTCTCTGTCACTCTTTCAAATAAAATTTTAAAATGCACATTTTTAAAAAAGAAATGGTGACGTGTTTTGAGAGACAGGGCACCGGGAGGCTCCAGGACCCTTGAGTATTGCATGTGGGTGAGGAGCGGGGTGGCGCTGCTCGGAGCTGGCATCTGTGCAGCAGAAGCTGAATGGAAGAAGCCCTGGGAAGAGCCAGGGACCGTGTCCTAGTTGAGGGCGATAAGGACAGTGTTGTGTTTCCGGAAGAGAAAGGACCTGCAGGTGTTATAGAAGGAGGCTGGAGGAGGAAAGGCTCAGCCGGTTTTATTGTCTTTTCAAACCATCCCACCAAATTCTTCCATACTCCAGCCTTCGCAAGGAAGGGCCCAATTCCTTCCCCTTGCCCCAGTTAACCACTTGGTTCTGTCAGCAACTTCAGCATATGGCTTTTTTTTTTTTAAAGATTTATTTATTTTTATTGGAAAATAAAAGGCGGATATACAGACAGGAAAGACAGAGAGGAAGATCTTCCATCCAATGATTCACTCCCCAAGTGAGCGCAACGACCGATGCCGGTCCCATCCGAAGCCAGGAGCCTCTTCTGGGTCTCCCACGCGGGTGCAGGGTCCCAAAGCTTTGGGCCGTCCTCAACTGCTTTCCCGGGCCACAGGCAGGGAGCTGGATGGGAAGCTGGGCTGCTGGAATTAGAACCGGCGCCCATATGGGATCCCGGGTGTGCAAGGCGAGGACCTTAACCACTGCGCCACTGCGCCGGGCCCCAGCATATGGCTTTTTAGCAAGTGGAGAACTTAATCTTGTCCCTTAAAGGAAGCTTTCTACAGGCTCTCTTTTGGCCTATCTGAATATCCAGTGTTATGACTCTCTTGACTTGGACCATTTTTAAGTAAAACCAGGTTTGCTTGAACGAAGAACTGTGGTAGGCTCAGTCATTGGTATGCTTACTAGGGATGGGGTAAATGGCTTCAAAAAGTTT